GGAAGGAATGGTCAGCCTCCAGGTCTTGACGCCCCTGCCCCCTGCACCCCCCCATGCCATTCCCCTGGTGCATTCCCCAGGGCACCTCCCCTCACCTGCATAATAGTGATAACACACCAGCAAGGCCCCGATGGCAAAGCACAGGAGGACGAAATGGAAAAACTCATCTGTGAAGGCAGGGGTGGGGAATCAGTATCTGCTGCTTTCTCTCTTTTTTGGGGGCAGAGGAGACAAGGTCTTGCTCTGTCACCCAGGGTGGAGTGCAGTTGTGTGATCACAGCTCATTGCAACCTTCAAGTCCTAGGCTTAAGCAATTCTCCTGCTTCAGCCTCACAAGTAGCGAGGCCTACAGGTACATGCCATCACACCCAACCATTTTTAAATTTTTAGTAGAGACAAGGTCTCACTATGTTGCCCAGGCTGGTCTTGAACTCCCAGAACTCCCGGCCTCAAGCAATCCTTTCATCTCGGCCTCCTAAAGTATTGGGATTACAGTTGTGAGCCAGCATGTCTGGCCTTTTTTTTTTTTTTTAATTACAAAAAGTCTCTGTGCTGAGCACCATGGTCTTTCCTCTTGCCCTCCCCTTCCTCCTAGAAGTCCCCATGGATTCCAGGCCTGGAGCGGGGAGGTTACTCCCATTTTCACTGCTCCTTTCCCAGAGTCTGGTCTAATCTAACCTTACAACTCTCTCAGCTCAGCTGACCTCCAGCTCCCCATCCTGGCCACAAGGCCTGGAAGGCATTTACCATCCTAGTGACTGTGCATAGCAGAAAGAGCAGAGGACCAGACCTCAAGTTCAGGCCACACCACTCACGAGCTGTAAGGCCACTCCTCAGCCTGGAACCTCAGTTTTCATATCTGCAAAATGGGAACCATTGTCCCACCCTGTTGAGTTGATTCTGAGCTGAGTAATACGTAAACTGCTGGGCATACGACAGAGGTGGGTAATGATTGCTACTGTGCTATTTCACCCCTAGAAATCCAGCCAGACAGGAAAAAGCAGGTCTGCTACACCAAGTTCCTTACCATCTTTCTTTATATTCTGTCTGCTTAACTGAGAGGCCTCCACTTCTCCTTAGGAACAAGAGAGAGATGAGTGTTTAACTTTGAAGCAGGACAGCAGGTGGGATTTTCTCTTCCCTACCTCATTGAGAATTAATATCCCGGGTACTTCTTCCTGGGTCAGAGGGCACTCACTGCAGGACCAGTCAAGCAAAACTGTGAAGATGGGGGTGCTGTCCTTGGAACCCCCACTGACTTCCTCCTCCTTCCTCAGGCCTGAGTCCACCTTCCATTCCATTTCCCCTGCACTAGAGATCCCCCTTCTGAATCATAGTGACATTGGCTGGCAACAGTCCCTGCTGGGACTAACCCACCCTCTCAGGCTGTCTGAAGTCCCAACCCATTGTCTGGAATCAACACCCACTCTGGCTGTCCTATTTGAGCTTGTATATTTACCACTTGCTGGGTCAGAGCCTCTCCTTCGGAGTCCTGGAAACGAGAAACTCAACATTAGTGCCCAACCCTGCTTGGGGTGCCTTAACAGCTGCCTCCACCCTGGGGAAGGCTATAGGTGACCTAAAAAAATGTCCCCATGGAATTCTGCAGCCCCCAAGGATCCTCCTTTCTATTGATGGCTGGTTGGTTGTAATCTCCTTGGGTCTTGCTGGGACAGCTTTCCAAGCTTCCCAGGCTCCCTGCTTCATGCCACAGCTGGCCCAGCCCGCTTGATGAGCCTAGGCTCAGTGGACCTGGGGCTCCTGTTTCTCACAGTCAGATACCCCAACAGGAGCTGGCTGTCTTAGGGGAGAGGTGATGCCTAGACCCGGCTCAACACCAGCACCAACGACCTCTCTCCCCTAACTGGACACTCACCTGATTCCCCAGAGGGTACCACCTCTCCTGGAGCATCTGCACAGAAAGGAAATCAGTGATCATATACCCATGATCCTCTGGGGAGGGAGAAGTCATGCTTCAGGGAAGGTGGATCCTGCTGGGAGACCTTCCACTTAACCTGGAATGTGCCAGGTGGGGAATGGAGCCGGCTGGAGGGTTCCTGTTCCAACTAAAGGGGCAGCCACCACCCACCAGCCACAGAAAGCTGCTGTAGGAATGCCTGCCCACTCTTACAGGTCTGTCAATTTCCCCAGAGAAGCCAGGTTTTCAGTTAAACTTCCTAATTATAAAAAAGTTTGGGCCGGGCGCGGTGACTCACGCCTGTAATCCCAACACTTTGGGAGGCCGAGGTGGGCGGATCACAAGGTCAAGAGATTGAGACCATTCTGGCTAACATGGTGAAACCTCGTCTCTACTAAAAACACAAAAATTAGCTGGGCATGGTAGCACGCGCCTATAGTCCCAGCTACTTGGGAGGCTGAGGCAGGATAATCGCTCAAACCCAGGAGGCAGAGGTTGCAGTGAGCTGAGATCACACCACTGCACTCCGGCCTGGCGACAGAGTGAGACTCTGTCTCAAAAAAAA